TGGGGGCAATGTGCTGACTCTCTGTAAACCGCTTAGAGAGGGCTGAAAGCCCTATGAAGCGGTATATAAGTCTACTGCTAAAAAAAAGATTTGTATATATGTTTATATATATATATGTAATGTGTGTGTGTGTGTGTGTGTGTGTGTGTGTGTGTCTGCTTTACAAAGGAAAATTCAAGAGCAAAACAAAAACTTTTACAAAAAAAGCATATTCTAATAGAAATATCTAAAATCAAACAATATATGTAAATTTCTTTAAAACACAATTCAATTTCTGTCTTTTTCGGGTGAATGCAAAAGACCATACATTAAAGCAGGACCATTTGCGTGGTCAAAGGGAGCTGGTCGAAAGGAAGAGCAAAAGGAATTTAAAAGGCAGCTTCCTGAAATGAAGGACTGTCTCTTGTGATCAAGACAGATGGTCACCGTACTTCTAGGTTTGGCCCCTGAGCCATTAATGTTGAGGTGACCAGATGGAGAAATTCCACCTTTCCATTTGTGGCCTCCTTTCCACAAAGGCTTTAAGGAAGAATTGGTCCCATCCGCCAACTTTCTTGCAAGAGGAGAAGTGAGCTCCTTTGACCCAAAAATAACAACAGCCACGCCAAGGTACAACAAATTAAAAACAGAAGCAGCGCATAACACCGACAGCATCCATCAAAGCTCCACAGCTCAACTCACTGGCTTTATGAACTGCACAGAGTGTGAGGGGACGAAGAGGCTCGCCCCGAAAGCAGTCAGGTGCTGGGTTAAGCACACAGCCTTCTCCGGAGTGGCCCCCTCCAAGGGAGCCATGCCCTCTGTCTTCCAGCGGGCTTCTTCCGCGTTGAAATACTGGCACAGGGAGCTGTACAGGCCCAGAGTCACCTCCACGGGGGACCACATGAAATGGTTAGTAATGTTCAAGTGATGGTCTCTCGCTGTGTCTGCAATCCTAAATGAGAGAGGGAACATGTCACCTGGTGGGGCAGGAGGCCAGCGGTCCTGTTGGTGGCCATGGGGCTCACTTGCACCCATTTATCAACCAGAAGGCCGGCCATGCGGGGAGGAAAGCTTCCTCGCCCACCACTCTTTTGCATCCCCTGTGCTGGCCAATGGTGAGCTCTACCTCACTTCCTCCCTGGGAACCAGGTCATCTCCCTTTGGCCCCAGAGATCCCACTCACCCTGGGGGAACAAAGATGGTGTAGCGCCGTGGGTCGCCCTGTGGCCCCTCTTTCATATCCTCTAGAGAGATCTCCTTGGAGGCTGTGCAGTTGCGCTCTCCGGATTCAGGGGAGTGGAAGAGACAGACGGCAAGAAAGGGTTCCTTTTCCCGGGAGACGTAACGATCTGTCAGAGAGGAGACACCGGTGGGTCCCAGCTAAGAGAGCGACTCCCTAGCCAGATGCTCACCAGTCGATCCACGTGGGGCTTTTTTGAAACCAGGAAGGGCTGAGAAGCAGGGAGCAGCTTCAGGAGGGTCTGCTGCCTGGGAGAAGGTCTCCTTGGAGAAGGGTACATTTTGGAGCTCTTAAAGAGGCTGTCTTTATTTCCTTCCTCTGTCCCTCTCTCCCTCCCTTTGCTGACATGATGATTTATGGATTTGTTTATATGTAACAGATAGGATATGGGAAGAAGATACGTTATTAAAATTGCTGACATCTGTTGCGGTGAAGGAGAATATGATAACTTTATACATTTCTTTCCTTTCTCTTTTCTTTTTCTTCTCTCTCTCTCTCTCTTCTATTCTATGTTCTGTACCTTCTATTTTTCTTTTTTTATTATTTTACAGTATTTTCATTTAGTTTTTACTGTTGTAAATCATACAACAATAAAATTGACAAAATTATTATTGAAAATAAAGAGTGGCCTCAAGGTTGTGCAAGCCACAATGTTTACCTTCCTCAGGGATCCCTCGAACATGCTCTCTCTGCCCTGAGCAGGGGCCAGGCAAGATTATCTCTCCCACCCTCTGATCAGGTGCTTCCTTGACCCAAGGCTGGTCATTCCGAGAGGCCAACAAACACACAAGGGTCTCTGAATCAGGTGCCTACCTGTGACAAGGCTGAAGGTGATCTGGAAATACAGCCCGGCTTCCGTGTTGCTGTTCTCCATCGAGACCACCACATGCACTGAATTCTTTTCTTCCACCACCACTGTGCCCACGGTGATGTTCTTCGGCCCAGAGTCCACAACCGCCACGGTGATGGCTTTGTCCACATCCAGGCTATTGACTGCTATTTCTGTGCCGTTGCTGCTCTGAAACTCCATGGAGGCCACATCGGAGGAGACGCTGTGGTTGGTGATGTAGCCAAAGGGGAAAGGGTTGTAGTCGACATGGAAGATGACCTGGACGACGTCCGTCAGGTCGGAGAAGGTGGCTCGGAAGGCCTGGGGGATAGAGAACTGGCAGCTGGGGGTGTCCCCGTAGCAGAGCAGGGCATGGGGGTCGGCTCGTTTCCCTCTGGCCGTGATGTTGCTCCCGGACAGCTCCAGGGGCTCCTCGTTGAGCACTCGGGACTTCATTAGGATGCGCATCAAGTCAGTGGACAAGGCGTAGGCTTTGGAAGCCACCTGCTCCCGATTCGGAGTGCTAGACAGCTCCAGCCGCTCGGACTCCTGGGATACGCCGTTGACGAGGTGGATCAAATCTCCTGCAAAGCAACCTGCCAAAATCAGGACCAAAAGCCTTGCTGGCATGCAAAGTCCCCCACCCCACTGAAATCACCGCCTGCCACTGCTGTTCTGCCATTCACCGGCGGGTTTGCAGAAGTGCTACTGCCCCTCCACATCGGACTCAAAGGGGAGGATGCACCTAATTCTTTTCCCCTGCAGGGGTGTCTACAGCCCCGACGGTGTAATCCCAGCACCACTGGTTTCTTTTGCCGCAATGCTTTGTTGACTATCTCCTGTGGACAACCCTTGACCTCTCAGGTCCCTTTCCACCAAGAAGAACCACAGTGGTTCTTGGCATCACACAGGTTCACATTGCACAGGTTGAATTTACAACCACAGACCTTATCAGGCTTGGAGAGCTGCCAGGCTGATATCTTCCAAACGCAATGCTGTACAAGAAAATAGTTGGCAAGGAGTCTCTGGGAGTCACAAACAAATCTTCACACTAATTAAGCGAACAAATTGTCTCCTGCAAACTCCACTCCCCCCTCGCTCCTCTTTATTCCCTATGGGAGGGGCCTTTTACCGTCCACCTGTGCCTTACTCCTGAGTCGGCCCTTGTTCCTTAACGGTTCCCTTCACCTGGCAGCTCTGTGCATACGCACATCGGGAACAGGCTCCAGCTGTTCTTCTACCCCATTGATCTCCGACTCCGAAGGCAGCTCACCCATAATATCGAGGATGTTGTCAGCAATGGCTTTGGGGGTCATGGTTCCTTGCAGGGTCTCTCCTTGAAGAATTGTCATCATCGTTTCCAGCTTCCTCAAAGTCTTTGTCAGGCAAGATCGACAGACAAACTCCTTTCTGGCCACCTGCAAATCCAACGCACAGGGGAAGCAAGTCGGGACAACATTTCTGGTCCTCATGGGGCTTGAGTGTCTTCACCACTTAAGACTTTCTGCCCACTCTCTGTTTCTACTCTCAGCCCTTCCCATATGATTCTCAACATACTGGGGTGTGAAGCTCATTTGAGCCAGTCTATATGCATGCACGTGCACACACACACACACGCACACACACACACACACACACACACACCCATCCCAGCTTGCCCTGTACCCAAAAGGCCTACCATACACTGGGCCAGTGCAGCCACAATCTGTCGGATGTCATCCACCGTGTTGACATTCAAGGAAGTCAGGGTTTCGGTAACATTTTTTCGGATCCAGATCTGGAGCGGGGCATCAGGCTCGGCTCCCAGCTTTGGATGCCCGGAGGATTCATGCTTTGGGTGGGAGGACAGAAAATGAAAAGTCAGCTTCTATCTGACCTTGAGGGAGGCAGGACAGGAGACAAGCCTCCCTCCCAAGGACGCAGTTTGCAAGAAGAGAAGCTCAAAAGCCAGTTGGAGTTTTCCTTACACCAAATCAGGGTGGATTTGATTTAAATCAAGTTGATTTAAATCATAATTTAAATCACTAGTAAAAATCTTAATTTTTAAAGAGCAACTGTCATCTCTGTCCCGCAAAGATACAATTTAAATCACTAGTAAAAAGGTTTGATTTAAATCAACTTGATTTCAATCATAATTTTTAAAAAGCAACTATCATCTCTGTCCCGCAGCCTCATGCTACATAACTACATAAGCTCCATTTCATGCTGAATAAACTACATTCTTCTCTGTGTCTTTCCAAAACCGTGATATTTTCTTGTAAAGTATTAGGCAAACTAATTTAAATTTTAACTTCACAAAGCTGACAAAAGACACCAGAATCCTTTCTCCCTAAATTCATACCTCATTTAAGATGGTGATGAGAGCCAGTGAATACTCAATAACAGGTTGGGGGTCACTCTGTTTGACTAGGCCTTGCAGTATCACCTCCGTCTTGTTGTGAAGCCACTGGGGAAGACTGTGGAATCCCTCTGGCGTCCTGGGCAAGGTGATGACCATAGGCCTAGACAGGAAAACAGCAATGACTATCACATAAAATCCTCTATGCCTGATAAACTAGCTATGTTCCTAATATGGAGTGTTTTCTATGTGCAGGGAGAGTGCTTGCTTGTGTTTTAAATACGAGGGAGCATTTAAATGACTGACTGGCAAGGATACAGTACAGTTTACCATACAGAATAAACTAGCAATTCATTCCGTGAATTCACCATGTCCAGCATTTGTAGATTTCCCTGATATATACTAAACAAACAAACAAACAAACAAACAAATAATCTATCTAGAAATTGCTCTGAGAAAAATACATACCAAGAGATGCTGAGAAGGCATGTGCCAAACAGGAGATGTGAGCAGAATGAACTAGCAATTTAGGCTATCAGGAGTGCATTGTGTCTAGCATTTGTAGATTTCCCCGACACTGTGTGCCATGCGCTAAATAAATAAATAACCGGTCTAGAAATTGCTCCAAGAAAAATGCAGACCAAGAGATGCTGAGAAGGCATGTGCCAAGTGGAAGACGGGAATATCTTGGAGGATAAATGGTCCAGGAGGTGCATTGCCATTTGTCTTTGGCTGCAACCCATTCATCACCACACAGCTGTCCTTAGCAACTCAGACAGGACACTGGATTCTTTCTTGAAAGAAATACACTGAGCTGCACTTTTGTCACTGATTTATAACCTCAGAATGTATTGATTTCCTAGGCTAACCAAAGTGGCAATTTGTATTAAAAGAGCAGTACATCAAGATGAACGAGAAATGAATCTTTCTTGGCTTCCAACTTTTGCTCATGGACCACAATGGCAGCCTAGGTAACAGCAAGGTAATTGGGGGGGGGGGTGTTTCCTCCTGGGTGAAACACCCCAGAAGCAGCTTGCAAGACACAGATGGAACACCCAGTAAACAGTGTGGCACATGATCTTCTAGGACATCCAGGTTGACTATATGTGGCCAGCAAACAGCAGCGAGATTATCTGTCTGTCAGCCTTGCATATTCACAACTCCAGTGTCTGGGGCCTAGCTCAATTTTCTTTCTGCAATTAGGTATCATAGCAGTATGACTGCATTTCCAAGCATCAGACATACGTAGGTTTTCTTAATTACCCTTAGGAGATTGATTTTGTCTGCAAATTAAGCGTAGCCGTTTCCAGTCGGTTTTACAATGCCTACAAGAAACCATCTGGCATTATTTCCTCCACTTAAGTATTAAGTATTCACTTTCCCCATGTAGCATCCCATGAGGGAAGCACATGTCCCTCGTGTTTCAAAGGCATTGTCAACACTTCATGAAAGCTATTGGTGCCCAAAAGTATGGTTATAAAACAGTGGTCCACATATGTATATGTGCTGAGAGGGAGGGGGGAAGAGAGAGATGGATTTGAAGGAGAAAAGGGCATTATAAGAACACACTGCATGTTCCATGAAGAGAGCTGACATAGCCAGGTAAAGGCACCCAAGCTGAAAGGGCTCGCCAGAGTTCGTATGGCACAACTTGCCACAGTCAACTCGCTGCAGCCAACTTGCAGCGGTCAGTTTGTCCTGGAAAACTTGCTGCAGGACAAGAACCTTTAAAGGAAGGATGCCAAAGGAGGACAAAACAAAATGCGAATGACAAAAATTAAAATAATTTTTAAATTATTTTAAATAATTAAATTGAATTGTTGAACTGTCCCTTGGCAAGTTATCCCATTGCAAGTTGGTCATGACAAGTTGCCCTGTGGCGAATTGCCATAGACCAGGGGGTGTCAAGCTCAAGGCACGGGGTACTTAGATCTGGCCAGTGAAGGATCGGCCCACCGTGCCTCTGCCAGCAAAAGCGGAGCTCGGGAGGGCTGCAGGCGGTCCTCACGAGCTCCATTTTCACTGGCAGAGGGTTGCAGGAGGCCATCACAGCCAAAAACTGAGCTCAGGAGCCAGTTTTCACTGGCAGAGCGCTCAGGCGCCCCCGACACAAGTGACATCAAGCTGGCCACAACCACCAAGGTCAAACACAACCCTGATGCGGCCCTCAATGAAATTGAGTTTGACATCCCTGTCGTAGACCTCTGCCAGAGCTGCCCAGCTGTGGTTAGGACTTCACGGAGCCTGCATTGAGGAAAAAGAACGGCACCAAGATAATGCAAGCATCGCAACAAAGAATGCAGCATTTCTCAGCTGGTGTAAGTTATGCTGACAAAGCACATTTGCCCTGTCTCTTATGCTAGGCATAATTTACTCTTACTTAAGTGGAAGAAAAAGAAATGGAATACTTTTTCTAATCTCAGACTCTGGAAATTTTATCATCATGGTAAACCTTAACCCTATCCAGGTTTCTGAGATTTCAGCAGGCATTAGACGCAAGCATCCGAATCCTCATGATTAGCATTGTAACTTGCAAATTACATGCTAGTTTGCCTCTATTTAAAAGAAAGCATCTGGAACTGCTGAAACATTTCAAATATATGCTTATATAGAAAGGACATCTTATCACATGTGTTGGTTATATTAAAAAATCAAAAGCACTGGAAAGGAATAGGCAGCATTATTCAGAAAAAAATTTAAAAACAAAATTTGACTTGAAGCTTCTCTTTTTCTTCTATTAGGAACCTTTCCAAAACAAATAAATAAAAATGTCACAGTTTATTAAGAATTATGCTGATAGCTGCAAGGACAATTTTGGCCCAATGTTGGAAAAGAGATACTTTGCTGACAGAATCAGACTGGAAACAGAAGTTAGGGAATATGCAGGGGTGGCAAAATTCACAATACTCTATTGTATTTATCCAGAACAGAAGCTGGGCTGAATTTAAGCAAGATTGGCTTCTCTCCCGGCAACACAAGGTAAGGAAAGTTAGATTCTTAGAAATATGTTTTTAAAGGGGAAATATTTGATATAAAGGAAATAACCAGAAACTAATATTTATATATACTTTGATATAATACAAGTTGAGTATAACAAGAAGGAATGTGGAACTTAATATTGCTTTTACTGATTGTTTTTCACATTTTTTCTTTTATAAGAACGTGCCTATTTCTTAGATAAATATGGCAACATTCACATCATATCACATCATCACATCAATTACAACAGTTTAGAATTTTGTAAGTGATTACAGTCACTTTTCAAGATGATATGACGATTTTAGTTTTATATATTCAATTAATTACCTAACCAATGAGATAAGGAATTCTAAATTTGGTAACAATTGTAAATTCTTTACTTATTAGTTTGTTATTTTCCAGACACAGAATCTTATCTCATATTTTTTTTATTAATTTTTTTTATTTTGTTACATAAACAAAACTTTGTGAACGTCTCTGGGGTCACTGGATCTCCTCCAACCTTTCACTGTCTCTCCGGGACAACTTGGGTTCAAAATTGAACCGTCCAATTCCTTCGGAATAGAGGAATTTCAGGAATAGCCTGAAAATCCATCTTCTCACTGCTAAGCCCCGCCTTATCTCATTTTCTTCTATTTTCCTTTTATGTTGTCTTTCATTTTATTCTTCAAAGATTTTAAACTACCGGAAGATGAAAATAAATATGCGTGCACTTTTAGAAGTAGTTGGATGGGAGACCACCAGGAAATTCTAGGGCTGTAGGAACTCCCCACTCCCTCACTCCAGATTTTTGCCAGAAAGCCTAAATAGGTCTGTCCACGAGGCCATCAAAAGCCACATTTACCTGCATTCCCAGGTTGAGTTTTCAAGACCAAACTGAACGGGAAACGAATCCTGCCCAAAAGTCCTTTGTCCCATATTTCTCACGCCCCTTGCAGACTTTTCAGGGTATGATTCTGCCAATCGTGGGCCAGAATATGTGGGCCCAGGAGAGAACCCCTGAAGGCCTTTCTTGCCTTGCAGTGGGGCAGGGCAGAAGGGAGAGGGAGCCCCCTGACCCGAGGGCTGAATGCAGCCCCCAACCCTGCTATAAAATGCTGCTGTGATTTCCTCAATCATTTGCCAGTGATGCAAAGGCCTTACTAGAGTTCCTTCTCCGAGGTGAGGGGAATATGCAAATGAAGACCTTGCTTGAGATGTCACCCTCTCCTCTCAAAAACTACAGTTGTGGCCCACTGTGCGATTCACACACATCTGGACTGATTTTCAAAACAGCAGCGAGGGAGCAAAGATGAGGATTTACTGGCTTTTACAAAACTCCGATGAGAGTTTACGGCACCAAGTGGCATTCATCCACGCCTGCTCCTTTTTGGTTTTGAAAAAGGGAAAGAAAAGGTACCTTTTTATGGCCACCACTGTTGCTCCCAGCTGATCCTGTACAAGCACCGAGACGGACAGGCGGGAGCCATGCGCTCGGAATCCGGGGGGCAGGAAGGCCGCGTGGGCAGGGTGGCTTCCTTTGTACACCAAGAATTCATCACAGTGGCCAGGGCGGCAACGGGTAGCCATGAGGATGTACACCAAGGGGGGGTCTTCTCCCACCGAATCTCTCCAGCCTGCAACCAAACAGGGCATGTTATGAGAAAGGCTGACAGCAGCCGCCCCCAACCTTTCTGGCTTGGCGGCCCCATGCAGTGGGGGAGGGGGAAGGGGATGGTTCCGTGTGAGTGACAGACACTCGCACATTTGTGCGCATAGCTCTATCTGTGTGAGCAGCAGGCACATGTGCCCGCAACATGCACAAGGGGAGATTTGCACATGTAAGGCCACACCTGGATTACTGCATCCAGTTTTGGTCGCCATGTTACAAAAAAGAAGTTGAGACTTGGTGGGGGGGGGGGAGTACAAAGAAGAGCAACGTAGATGATCAAAGGCCTGGAGACAAAAACATATGAAGAACGGTTGCATGATTTGGGTTTGGCCAGTTTCGAGAAAGCCTTGATAGCAGGATTCCAGTATTTGAAGGACTGCCACAGAGAAGAGGGGGTCAAGCTATTCTCCAAAGTCCCAGAGGGCAGGACAAGAAACAATTGTTGGAAACTAACCAAAGGAAGAAGCAACCTGGAATTAACAGTGAGGACAATTAACCAGTGGAACAGAAGTTGCCTCCAGAAATTGTGGGCTCTCCATCACTGGAAGTTTTTAAGAAGAGACTGGACGGTCACTTGTTTGAAATGGTATAGGACCTCCTCGGTGGTGAAATCTAATTTTTTTTCCTACCAGTTCTGTGGGCGTGGCTTGGTGGGCGTGGCTTTTTAGCCATGTGACTGAGGGGTCAAAAGATAGAAACTCACTTTAACTATGTCCGGCTGGAGCAGGGGGTTGGACTAGATGACCGCCAGGTCCCTTCCAGCCCTGGATTGCTGTGCTCTTTCAAGGTATCCTCTGTAGCTGCCTCTAGTGCTAGGTTTGTGGTCCTTCCTCCCTCTGCTTTTTCCCTCCCTCCCTCTTTCTTTCTCTCTCTCTTTCGCAGCACCCCCCTCCACCACTTTTTAAACCATTTTTTCCCTGCCTATTCGCCTGAACCAGCAGGGGAAAATGCTTTAAAAAGCAGAGGGAAAGCTTCTGATGATTGCGCGGCTCAAAGTAAGCCACGCAATCCTCGGAAGCTTTTGTTTTTTACTATTGGGTCGTAGAATCAAGGACAATCGTCCCTACAGGTTTGGCTGAACCAGGAGGATTTCACTCCTGGGTCTCCTGCTTGAGCAGAGGGCTGGACTGGAAGACCTCCTTCCAGCTCTATTCTGATTCTGATTCTGCTGCTCATGTGAGTGGAGTTGCATGCACTAGCTGCTTGCATGGCCTGCTTCTGAACAGGACACGGCCTGGTAGTGGACTGGGGTACGGTAATTGGAGACCCCTGACCCTCAGGAGACACTTTCTCCTGTCTGGCTGCTCCATAACCAATGAGGATTTGAATGGATTAAGAATAGGTTATGCAGGTCTAGTTGCAAACCCCAATCAGCCATAAAGGTCACTGTTGTTCTTTGAGTCCAGCTCTGTCATGGGCCAAGGAAATCAGGAGATTCAGGAAGTTCAAATGAGTATAAAGACTTATTGCAAACATAAGTACTCTACAAGAATCTGAGCTACTAACAGTCAAGGAAAATGAGTGGGAATTAAGAAGGCATTCAAGGTGAGGTGGAGTTAGGTCTCTTGTGGGTGCAAAGGGACTCATGACTGATGACATGTTTGACTCCTCCCTCAGGCTCAACCTAGTCATCTCCTACATCCCCATGGGACACAGATGTTCCACATTCTTACCTGCACATTCAAAGTGTATCTTGGTAGCCAATGCTTGGACAGGATTTGCAGGCGAAAGCTGGCACGATCCCCCGAAGGGAGGCTGGTTGGGAAACAGGTCAATGGAGGCATAGCCTTCTTCCCCAGTGGCCAGGTCTGTGATGTAGAGAGTGAAGGTGTACCCCTCCCCATCCTTCAGAGCCCACGGACGCAAGACGAGGCTCATCTCGGCATCCCCCGTGGAGGTCGATCTCTTGTTCAGAAGCAGAGATTCATTTTTGAAGCTCTGGGCTGTCCATCTCGGCTTAGTCTTAAAAAAAAAAGAACGGGGGGGGGGGAGATCCCCAAGATTTACATTTTGTAAAAAAAACAAAACTAACTGCAGTTTAAAGTATTATCCCTCTATATTTTGATAAAAGGAGGAGGGTCCATTTTCAGTCTCTGGCCAAATTTGGGGCTGACATTTCAGCCCCATTCCCAGGCATTTGATCCAAGGAAAACCGGGAGAAGATCAAATCGCTTGACAGGAGATCTTCTCTAAAATCAGATGTGATCCACTTTGTCAGATCTGGAGGCCATCTTTTACCTTTGGGACTTCAGGCCTGCCACATTTTCTACTGTGGGAAAATGGGAGGAGGGATTATATGGAGTATGGATGATATATAGTCATAATAACATTCCTTTCTCAGAGAGTCAAGGTCATCTTGCCCTGCAGCTGCAATGAGGTGACTGGGAGGCATCTCCGGTGTTGGACGGTGCCTGATTGGACCATGTGACGGATATGTGGGTGCTGGGCAGGGAATTGAACTTTCATTTGGATGGGGAAAACATGGAGCCTTTCAGATTCGGGTTTTCCCAGATGTGCCAATAGGACACCTCTAATAAAATAGAATTTTGTGGAAGCTCAAGCCTTGGAGTATTCTTTCCTTGGGGGGGTCTTACTTGGGACCCTGACACACTTCAAATTTCTTGCATTACCTCACCTTCCAATGTATGGTTTCAGAAGAAAAGGCCCAGGAAACCTGACAAGGAGATATAGATTTTTTTTTTACCAGGTACCACTGATTTTCAAATTAAATACAGGACGGGACTGCAAACCACACGGTATAATGGCAACATTACACAAATGCAAGGGAGATTGTGGGAATCACAATAATGGGATTGCTGAGATAACTGGCGTGCATTTTCTCAGACTCCCGGATTTTTGAAATAATAAACTTAAGACTTTATCCAGCTGGAAAATGACATAAATCTCAAAATGGAGCAGCCGGCTGAGAGGAAAAAGCACAACGCTGCCTCCGACTGCAGAAATTATTGGTGTTCAAAATATGCTGCAGATTTAAACATAAGCTCAAATTCTGCTCACGTCTTCACACCCTCCTTCAAATTGGGGGGGGGAGGGGGCTGCGGGACCGACAGGCGCTTCCACTCAATGTTTTCCTTATGTTTTTTTTTCCCTGACCATAGTGCATTTTTTAACTTGAAAAGGCAGCCAGAATATCAGGGCGATGGGGAGAAGAAAAATGATCTGTGGAAGGACAAGAGCTGATCTCACAGATAAACCTCATTAGGCGAGCGGGAAGAACAGGAAACGTGGCTGAAACCGCTAATGAAAAAGTTCCAGCTGGATTCCCCTGAATCCCTTGAAGCTGGCAGTTCCACGCTGGCAGTTCACCTTCAAGGAGATGCAAGGGGCAAGGCCGAGGTTCTTGAGACAGAGGAGGAAACAGCCCAAGCCTGCTGGACCATTCCCGCTGGGCACTAGGTGAGTGATGGATGGAAAGACCCCGAGGCGAGGGGTGCAAATTTGAAGGCCACAAGTCTTAAAGTGGCCAAGGTTGGAGACTCCTCCCACAGAGCTCCCAGCAAAGACTTTTAGGAGAACATGCAAAAGAAAAAGAATGCCCCTAGTTTCTTGGCCCTGGGATTTGTACAGGGGTGGGATTCAGCCAGTTCAGACCAGTTCATGTGAAAACGGTAGTACTGGCAATCAGTTGGCCCTGCCCACCCGCCCCTGCGCTAGTCTGTCCTATATTTCCTTTGTTTGAAGCATAGCTGATAGGCACGGCAGAGCGGTTTTAATCCCCGGTGCTGCAGGAAAAGGTAAGTTTTAGAGCTGTTTTCCAATGGAGTGCACGTGCGCAAAGCATGTGCTCAGCAAACTGGTTGTTGCACCGATTGACTCCCACCACTGGATTTGTATCTGTATTTTGTGTAGGGGTGTGTTTGTGGTGTGTGTGTTGTCCTTGGCCAAATCACTATCATTCGGAAGGCCCTTATGTCATTTATTGCTTCTTTGAACCTCAAGAGAAAATCATCCTTATTTCTATACCTACGTAGCCCAGTATGGTTCTTCTTTGATGATGCCCAAAAAAACGGGCCTCACAACTTGTAGAGGGGAAAGGACCACACCAAAAAATGAAAAACAACTGCAGGCCACAAAGGAAGAGCTGGCACACTGACTAGCTCTTCGGTGGCAAAGCAACGTGGCAGCAGAGCTGGTGGTATTGCTGAAGCCTGGAGGTGTTGGAGACACTTGGCAAGCCCGTCTTTCACAAAATGTTGTGGAGGACTGCCAACAACATTGCGAAGAAGTCTAGACTGCAACATCGAGGGATGGATAAGAAGATGTCTTGCTGTGAGCTAAGTTGTTAAAAGGGCCTTCTCCATATGCTTCAAAGAGGGGGAAATAAAATCCCTTTTTGACTAGAGTCGTCTGTGTGCATCTTGCAGAAAAGAAAAAATGAAAAAAGAAAAGGGAAAAAAGAAAAGGGAAAAAAGGAAAGGAAAGGAAAAGAAAGGAAAAAAGGAAGGGCAGGAAAGAAGGAGCGAAGGGAAAGGAAAAGAAAGGAAAAGAAAAAAAAGGGAAAGGAAGAGGGAAGGGAAAGGAGAAATATAGACACTCCTATATTTCCTGTCAAAAATGGTACAGGATCTGCTGCTTGAGCAGGGGGTTGGACTACATGACCCACAAGGTCCCTTCCAATTCTGTTATTCTAAAGAAGAAGAAGAAGGAGAAGAAGAAGAGGAGGAGGAGGAGGAGGAGGAGGAGGAG